CTCTCTCTCCTCTCCTCTCTCTCTCTAAAAAAAAAAAAAAAAGGAGTCTCTCTGTTAGAGTAATGAAGTGTGCAAAGCAAGTTCACTGTGTATTAGTTACCCACTTGTCTGACTTTGGTGAATACCTGCACACAACTTACTTAGAGATAAGCATCGAGGGACAATAGAAAAAAAAATTGTCAAGGAACAATAGGAAAAGCTAAGAATTCATTGTGGGCCAGTCCCCTAAGGCTCTGGAAAGCTCCCTGGGTGGATGGAATCTTTTCTGTGCATACCCCACTGGCACCACAACTGAGGAACCCTGTATAGCAATGCTTTGGGTTTCATACCCCAAGGAAAATCAGACTTACTGGGATAAAGCATTGAAAGATATCTTATTTTAGAAGGGACCAGAACAGAGCCTATGTTGTTCCAGCCAGTCCCTCCTGTCACAGGATGCTGCATTCCCATCACATTTTGCAGTTATTTTTTAAAACTATAAGCAAGGAAGAGGGGAGAACTGAGTCAGTCCAAGACCACCTTGCTGTGGACCTCTGTATAGCTGTAGCATAGAAAAGGTAGAATACCAGAAATCCAATCATGTCACTAGAAGGCTAGAATTGTTAGCTTCCCGCTCCCACCAACCCTCTGAGGAGAAGAGGACATCTGGAGTCGAGTTCAGTCACATGGACAATGATCAATCATGCTTGCACAATAAAACCTAAAAAAAAAAAAAATCAACAACTCCAGACAGTGAGCCTAGGGAGCTTCCTGGCAGTAAGCACATTGATGAACCTGGAAGATGGCAGTATAGGGATAGAGGCTCCTGTACCCTGGATCTTGCCCTTCATCTGACTATCCATTTATATCCTTTATAATAAAAAGGCAATAGTTAGAGGCTGAGGTTGTGGCTCAGTGGTAGAATGCTTGCCTCCCATGTGTGAAGCACTAGGTTCCATCGTCAGCACCACAGAAAATAAATAAATAAACAAAAAAGTTTAAAAAATAGTTGGGACATACTTATAATAAATATTTTTTTAAATAAGGCAATAGTAAGTAGAGCAGTTTTCTGAGTTCTGTGAGTCATTCTAGTGAATTATTAATATTATCAGTGTTCAGAACTGAACCCAGGTCCTTGCACATGCTAAACACAGGCTCTACCATTGAGCTATACACTACAGTCCCTTTAGTGAATTATTGAACCTGACATGGGGTCTTTGGAACTGCTAAACTTTTAGCCAACTCAGACAGAAATATGGATAGCCAAGTAACCTTAAAGTGTCTGTCATCTAAATTAAGGACAGCTTTGTTGAGAAATTTATATTTTAATTTGTGGGATCTGTCATCAACTCCAGGCAGTTCATGTCAGAAATTAATTGAATTGAACATTCAGTTGATGTCAGAAAATTGGTGTTATAAAATAAACATAGTGTGTTCCTGAGTTCTGTGAGTTGTTTTTGTGAATCAAACCTGAGGGAGTAATGGAAACACCCAGAATCATAGAAATACTCAGGTGGTTGGAGTGCAAAGGCTTAAGGAAACCTGAGCTTGAGAGTGGTGTCTGTAGTGAGCAGAATGCTACAGAAAATCACGCCCTTTACTGTGAAATTTAGCCCGATCCTGGGTAATTTGTGACAGAAGCCTATATAGAACATTATTCAGCTGTAGGAAAAGAAATATTTATTCATGATACAACATAGATGAACACTGAAAACATTATGCTAAGTGAAAGAAACCAGATGCAAAAATTACAGTGTGTAATTCTAATTATATGAAATGTCTAACAGACAAATCTGTAGACAGAAAGTAGATAAATAGTTGCTCAGGGTTGCAGCTTGAGATGGGTGGTTTGAGGTTAGGGAGCTGATAACTAAAGGAAATCAAAATTTTTTTAATGACATGATGGAAATATTCTAAAATTAACTGTTATAGTGGTTGCAACCAATACATATATCTATGTATTGGTTGCATATATCTATGAATATACATAGATATATGTATATCTATGTATATACACTGACTTATACTTTAAATGGGTACATTGTGTGGCATATTAATTATATCTCAAAAACTGTTATTAAAAAATGTTTACCTTTTAGAAATAGATGCAGAAATAATTGATGAAATAATGAGATGTCTGGAAACAACTTCAAAATAATCCATTGGGTTTGGGAGGGGAATTGAAGAAATAAGACTGACTGGAAATTTATAACTGCTGAAGCTAAACCTAGAAGTTTATTATACTCTTCTCTTCACTGTTATATATGTTTGAAAGTTTTCATTAAAAAAAAAGAAATTTAGGAAATGTTTTCTCAGAAGAGAGTGTCACTTTTCTTGGTATTTTAATTATCTAGAGCCACCTGACACCTACTCCCAAGCCCTCTCATGAAGGACATGAATTATTAAGGGCAACCTGAGAGGCCTGGAGTCTTGGAGTCTGCAGAAGTGGTGAGAACAGGGGCTGTGTGGACCAGGAAGGTCTGCCTTCTCCAGGGACCCACACTGTGTCTCTCAATCTACTTGCCATGTTGACTGTGGTGGTACAAGTGGAGCTGGAGAGGGGATCAGGTAAGAAGCCCCCCAAGTTTGTATTCAGGAGTATAGCCTAGGGAGCTTCTTGGGAGAGGCAGGGCCAGGACAGCTTAGGTTGAGAAACTGAGGCCTGGGTTGAAGGCAGGACTTGGGGAATCCTGGAGCTCAGTTTTCCTCATGAGAATTCATGTGAAATTTGCCTTTCTCAGGCCCCGAGGAGACCCATAGCCCTACAATCCTTCTGGAGGGGCCCAAGAGCCTTCGACTTCTTCAGCTGGGGAACTTAGAGACTCAGGTAAACCAGGTGGAGTTGGTGGGTATAGGGGAAGATGGAAATGACACTACTGACCCCAGTCCTGCCCTTAGGAACAATGCTTCACCTTTGACAGAGTCCTGGGTCCTGATGCTGCTCAGGTAGGGAAACTGAGGGGGCGATGGGAGGATGATGGGAGGTTTCAGGGCCCTGGATCTGAGAGTGCAGTCTGTTCCCCACCCCTTTGCTCAGGAAAGGTTGGGAAATGGCACCTGAGACAGTGGGAATTAGCCTGTGTCTTCCCGCAGGAAGCAGAGCAGGAGCTACTGGCACGAGTCCAAACAACACTGGCTTCTGTGGGCCAAGGGTACAGTATATCTCTGCTGCTCCGAGGCAGGAAGACAGAGGCCCCCCGATTTGTGCCCCAGGTAAGGAACCACCAGGGCACAGACCTCATGAGGTTCAGGAGTCACCTTCTCCAGGACTTTAGAGGTTCTTTGTCTGTCCATCCCAGCTGGACTAGGTAACACGCCTTGGGGGACTGTGATCCATGTAGTACATTTTGACCCTGGCAGGTTTGAAAGGCAGGACACTCATGAGGATGGGATGGGAGTCAGAGGGGCGGTGTGTGAAGATCAAATATTCAGGAGGTCTGCTTTTCATAGTTCTTGGTTACTCTAATGATACTAAACTTGAAAACTTTATTGTGGGGGGGCTTCATTAAAATTTCCCCAAATCAAAACAGCTGCCTCAGAACCTTGTCATGGGACCCTGTGCCAGGTCCCACTGAAAATGTCTACTCATGTCTATTCATTCTGGCTCACTGAACATGAGGGTTAGTGCTATTTCTACTCTGGACACCATGTCCCCAGTACCCAGACAGGGCGTGGCATAGATCTCACCCTCAGGAAGTGTTGAGGACTGAGTCATTTCTTTCTCAGTCCTCACTGGATCCCTTTCTCCCTTTAGTTGCTGCAGATGCTGTTTGAGGAAGCTCTGTCCCTCCACCGCTCTGATCATGTGCTTAGCACTCTTAGCCTGGTGCAGGTGAAACTCTTGGGGGTTGAGGAGAAGGGATTGGGACCTGGGAGCCAGGGCCATGTGACACTGAAGAAAGGACCTGCAGCTTGTGGGGAGCCAGAAGAACTTGGGTCTAGCCCCACTGTGAGGCTCACCAGAGTAGGATTGTCTCTGTGGGGTCAACTTTATCCTGACAATGGAATGGCTCAGTCATGCACACTGCTGAGCTCACAGGGACCCACAAAAGGAAAGGCTCAGTTTGTAACAAGTGTGCTTGTGTGACCTCAGATCAGCCCCAGCGGGAAGGCGTGGGACCTGCTCTCCCCAGGGGTGGAGGACCTGTCGGTGCTGGATGTGGCTCCTCTAGGCTTGTGAGTGTTCAGGGCCCAATGGGGTCTGAGTGTGCTTGTATTAAGGCAGGGCTAATAGCCCCAGGTCAAGTCTTTAGAGGTTTCTACCCGCTGCCACCTCAGAAGAGGGAAGCTCTGAGCTTAGAGTCCTGTTTACAGGCCTTGGGTCTGCTACCAGGACCCCCTTGCACCCTCGCACCCTCACACTCTCACACCCTCATCCCGTATGGTCATATCTCTTACTACTCCCACCCCGTTTGTACTCTTCAACTCATACCATTTCAACTATTCTCCATCCTCACATCTCAACTCAGTCCGCTGTCATAGTAGGTAATTTTGAGCACTTTACTGAGCAAGACTTTCATTTCTTCATCTGTAAAATGGGAGGAATCCCAATTATCCTGTTTCCCTTGATGGGCAAACCAGAGGAGGAAAAATAAGCTGCTGAGGCTAGCCTGAAACTTGTGACTTTCCTGCCTCAGCCTCCTGCATCTCTGGGATTATAGGTATGCGCCACCCTGCCTAGCTCACAGGAGAAAATTAAAATCATTTTAGGAGGTAACTCAACTTCCCCTTCCTGCAGGGTGGTGGAACATGCCAGTGAAGTGGAAGTGTCTGACGCAAGAGCTGCCTCAGAGCTATACTTACAGGCTACAGGGGGTGAAGGCAGGTGAGGACCTGAAGGCACCAGTCATCCCTCATCCCCTGGGCCTTTGCCTTGAGCCTACTCTTTCCCCTACAGGACCTGCTTTTTGCTCACTGTCACCATGTTCTGCCCTGGGCCTAAACCTCCTGAGGGGCCTGGGACCCAGGGTGTGTGGCGAGGTGCTTTGAGGATCTTGCAGCTCCCAGGGACCCCGTAAGTATGAGAGGGCCTCTGGCTGCATTGGGAGGTGAGGTGCAAGGCTGGAATATGGATGTGAATGCCCAGGGCAGCATCAAAGTTTCTCCTTTTTTCCTGAGCTCTCACAGTAAGGTTCCCCCAGACTCCAGACTAAGACCCTCTGTTGGCAAATGACATGGTCAAAAGCAACTGGGTAGGTAGAGAATTTGTAGTATCTTTAAATATTAGATCTTTCCAGTCATTTTTTTTTCATATATTGATAAGTGCCCCATTTTTTTTTTTTAATGTTAAAACAGGGCTGGGGATAGAGTTCATTTGGTAGAGTGCTTGCCTTGCATGCATAAAGCCCTGGGTTTAATCCCGAGGGAAAAAAAAAAGAGAAGTTCTTGCTAAATTGCCAAGGTTGGCTCCTGCCTCTGCCTCCCAAGTTTCTGGGGATTATATGCATGTGCCATTATGCCCAGCCTTCTATTTCTTTTTAATTTTTACAATTTGAATTAATTTTCTTCTGATCTATCAGACTGCAAACTTGGGAAGAACCAAATATCCAAAACAAAGATTGGAAAATTCCCAAGTAACCATATCTTCATGCTGCACTTTGTACCTTTTTCTCAGTGTCCAAAAATATGAAAGCATTGAGTGGCAATAGAAAATAAACATTTCAGGGGCTGGAGATGTAGCTCAAGTGGTAGCGAGCTTGCCTGGCATGCATGTGGCCCGGGTTCGATCCTCAGCACCACATACAAAGATGTTGTGTCCGCTGAAAACTAAAAATAAATAAATAAATATTAAAAAAAAAAAAGAAAATAAACATTTCAAGCCAATTTGCAAAATTTGTATTATCATGGAAACACGGCCAAATTCAGAAGTGCCTAAAAACAAAATGGAGAAATAAAGTACCCTAAATTCCAGACTATTCCAAAGTCTTTTTTTTTTTAAAGAGAGAGTGAGAGAGGGGAGAGAGAGAGAGAATTTTTTAATATTTATTTCTTAGTTCTCGGCGGACACAACATTTTTGTTGGTATAGGGTGCTGAGGATCGAACCCGGGCCGCACGCATGCCAGACGAGCGCGCTACCGCCTTAGCCACATTCCCAGCCCCAGTCTTTTCTTTCTTTCATTCTTTCATGTAGGATAACATTTTCAAGGCTCAAACTTCAGTTTTTATTGACAAATAATATTCAATTGTATGAATATCCCATCTTTTGTTCATTCATTTATTTCTAGATGGACATTTGAGCTGTTTCCACCTTTGATTATTACAATACTACTTCTTATGAACATTCACATAAAAGGTTTTCTTTTTACATATTTTCAGTTCTCCTGGATATATAGCAAGAAGTGATATTGTGTGTATGTGGGGGGGTAATCTGGTAACTCAATTATTTTAAACATTTTTTTTAATTGTAGATGAACACGATGACTTTACTTAATTAATTTATTTATTTTTATGTGGTGCTGAGGATCAAATCCAGTACCTCACACATACTAGGCAAGCACTCTAACTGAATTTTAATCTTTGTCTATAGTTATTGAGGTAAAATTCATACAACATAAATTTAACTATAACCATTATATAATGTGCAATTTGGTGACATTTAGAACATTAAGGTTGTGAAACTCTTTAGTTCCAACACATTTTCATCATCCTGAAAGAAAACCCTGTACCCATTAAGCAGTCACTCTCCAATTTCCCTTTCCCAGCCCCTACTGAACATGATTTCATTTCCCAATGGATTTACCTAATATGAATGTTTTCATATAAACAGAATCATGCAATATGTGACTTTTATACCTGGCTTCCTTCACTTAGAATAATGTTTTCAAGGTTCATCATGCTGTAGTATATATCAGCACATCTTTCCATTTATTTATTTATTTATTTATTGGTGTCAGGGATTGAACTCTGGGGCACTCAACCACTGAGCCACATCCCCCACCCTATTTTGTATTTTATTTAGAGACAGAGTCTCACTGAGTTGCTTAGTGCCTCACTAAGTTGCAGAGGTGGGCTTTGAACTTGCGATCCTCCTTCCTCAGCTTCCCGAGCTACACAACCCCAATCCTTGCACATATACTTTTTATAATGTTGTAGAATTTCCCTTTTATTCCTATTTAGTTGATTTTTTTTGGTTTTTGTTTTTGCTTTTGTTGTTTTGCTTGTAGTACTGGGGATTGAACCCAGGGGTGCTTTAACACTGAGCTGAATTCCTAGCCCTTTTTATTTTAATTTGAGACAGGGTTTCCCTAAGTTGCCCAGACTGGCCTTGAACTTGTGATTCTCCTTCTCAGCCTCCTAAGTAGTTGGGATTATTTTGTTGAATATTTATATCACGATAGGGTTTTAGATACTGCAAAAAATTTAAAAAAAAACTTTTTTTAGTTGTAGATGGACACAATACCTTTATTTTGTTTATTTATTTTTATGTGGTGCTGAAGGTCAAGCCCAGGCCCTCACACACGCTAGGTGAGTGCTCTCGCACTATACAATGAACCCACTGTGCTGAAGCACCACATATAAATAAATAAAATAATAAAAAAAGAAGCCACATTACTTTTTTAAAAACCTCTATCAGGAAGAACTTGACACAGGCAATGCTGTTTTTGAAACATATACTCCATCTTAGAACAAGAGTTGCCTCACAGTCACTCTGACTCAGCTGTCATCATGGAAAGAAACCCCAAACAATATTCAATGCACTCCAGTTTTATTGGGGATCCCAGGGAAGTTTCCAAAGAGTCCCGCCCAGGTCTACTTCTTAACTTTTGATTGACAGCAAGATGACATCAGGCTTTCAAGGCTTACTGCCAGGACAACTCTATGTCACCTTGGCCCATGCTGAGCAGTTCTTATTAGATTCTAAATCATTTTTACAGGTTTTATGGTTAGGAGGAACTACCCTTATCTTCCAAGATCTAGTCTGTGAAAGGGGTCACAAAAAGTCTCTCCTTTCAAAGTAACTTGGGTTGTTCTTATCAACATTGTTTCCTGCCTGAGTTTCCTTGAAGATAACAGGTAATTTGCTGAGGACTGTGACACATCCTGACTACTAAAGCCAGGTACAAGACATTGCTTTTTTTTTTTTTTAATATTTATTTATTTTAGTTCTCGGTGGGCAAACACAACATCTTTGTTTGTATGTGGTGCTGAGGTTCGAACCCGGGCCGCACGCATGCCAGGCGAGCTCGCTACCACATCCCCAGCCCAAGACATTGCTTTTTGACAAAGAAAGCATGTGGGAGTCAGCACAGTGGTGGTGGTGCTGGGTATTGAACCTAGGTCCTTGTACATATAGGAGGCAAGCACTCTACCAACTGAGCTATATCCCCAGACCTCAGTTTTTAATCTTACTGAAGATTAACAACACACAATAAGTTAGCTTCTTTCTTGCTTTTTTTTTTTTTTTTTTTTTTTTA